GTTCTTATTTTGAAAGAAGAAATGGATAAGTCTAGCAGATAGATATAATATTGAGGCAAATCTAATTAAATTTACTGTCATTTACATTAGTGAAATAATGCTTTTGCCTTTATAGAACTTTACGAAACAACTATTCTTATTTTCATGCGTACGGTACTTTCAGACTGTAAGAACTCATTTTGTCATGTTTAAAAAAGAAAACAGAGTACCTAATTTAGTTTCAGCACCTTTTAAACTAACATAAGCTCTAAGAAAATGAGCCAAGCAAAGGCATCAAAACCACACTTCAAAAGATATATCCAGAGTTTTTCTGGACAATAAAAAGGAAATTTAATAATAAAATATAGTTTAAGTTCTGATCTATGGGCATTATGAGATTGCAATGCCTAACTGAAGATGCTTCATAGACCATCCACAAAGGAATTGAGACAATAAAATATTAATAAAATTAAACATAAGTCAGCCTTGTTCACTTTAGTAAATGCTTCAGCTCCTGAGGTATTATAGAATCATAGAATCATAGAATAGTTAGGGTTGGAAAGGACCTTAAGATCATCTAGTTCCAACCCCCCTGCCATGGGCAGGGACACCTCGCTCTAAACCATATCACCCAAGTAAAAATAAAAAAATTTAAGTATTAAGTAGAAGAAAATTAAAATTAAAAGTATTAAGTAGAGGAAAGACAACGACACTGCTTGCTACTGCTGTTTCATGCATGTAATAAAGGTTTAATTTTTCTTGTTTCTAGAACTGCTTGAGCTAAAATATTTCAGACCAACTTAAGTAACACTTTTTGCTATACAGAAAAAGTATATGTATATGTCTGTTTTTTGTTGCAGTGAAAAAAAACCAATCAGAATTAACCATATCAGCATTGTAGTATTTTTTGTTTCAGCTGTCAAACCAAACCTCAAATTTCCTCATAATCTTATTCTTATTTAATAAGGTAATCCCACAATCTTTTTTTTTTTACTTTTAAAGAATGTGCATTGAGACAAAAATAACTTTCAATTTAAATTTAAACTTAGTACAGCCAAATTAGTGGAATTTATCATTTTCTTTAAATAACATGGTAAATCACATTGAACTGTGTTCCAGCTTCAGAAAAGATGCTGTCTTTCCACATGCTATAGGTGATCATTCTAGCTAGAGAGTAGTAAAAGGAATAACTGCAACAGTTGGTATTAATATATTTTTGTATGTTTTCAAAGTTTCATGTAATTATTTTCCAGAGAGAAGCTGTCTGCCTTTCTGTCAGCAACACCACACCAATCAACATACATACATATGCTCCTGCATTTTCTATTTTGCCTCATACATTGACAGATTAAAGTTGCTAGCTAAGTTCTTGACATGAAAATATTTCTACTGTATTAAATCAGAAAAAGTTAATTATCATAGTAAAATTACATATTCAACAGTAAAAGGTCAGTAGGAAGCTTTGCTTAAGAATGATTGAGTAGGAACTTGATAAACACTGGGATAAAGTTTAAGCGCTGATATTTGGCTGAGACCTGGTGTGTACAGGACCTGATGCCCTGGGTTCAGCTGCATATATATCAAAAGACAGAAGTGACAGTATATTGAAAAATGTGGGGCCTGGGCATGATGTAAATGGCATGGAATAAGGGGTGGGTACTTCCCTGGGTTCAGCTGTATTTTTCTCCTTCCTAGTAGCTGGTGCAGTGCTGTGTTTCAGCTTTAGTCCAAGAACAAGGATGATGTAATTTCATCATGGTCTCTCTCTAATACGTTTCTGTCAGGGTCTGTCAGGGCAGGTTGTCACAGAGTGACAAATCAGGATACATGTGGTTGTGTGGTTTTGGGGGAGGGTTGGTTTGTTTCTGTGGAGATTGGCAAGAAGTGTATGGGGCTGTTGACAAGAAATAAACCCACAAGTATGGGTCTAAAGTAAAGAACTGCCAGTTAGGCATAACTGAAAATGTAGAAGTGAGCTAGCAGGCTAGTGTGTACTGAGAACCTGACAGAGTTGTCGCTTCTATTTCTTCTTGCTATCTTCATTTTGAAGCAGTAGGTACTTCAAACAGTGTATTTATGCTGCTACCCCAGGGAGATAAAAAGTTGGATTAAAAGATTCAGAAACAGCAATCTGAGAATTTGGGACTGAGCCTCTTTATTTAAAAGTAGTAGGGACTGCTACTTGAAAGAAAAATGTTTGTAGTGAGTGAGCCACTACCTGTGGCTATGCATGTGTGTGTCCTGGGATGCAGGTAAGGCTTGCTAACATAGCCAACCTAGATCTGGGTTAAATGTGTACACTAATGGGATGGAAGAAAGAAACGTTATTTGGACTAAATTAATATATTGGAAAATACATCTAATTTCCTCATCACAAAAGTGTTATCAGTGGTTCCCCAAACACTATTACTTTACCAAAATCTTTGCTTAACCATGGAAGAATTTTGGAGCAACTTTTTGTTAAAAAATATTAATGCTGTTTTGCATTAGTAACAGCAGAAATCTCAGTTTGCAAAAACGCTTCTTTCTAGGCAATGTCTTGTGAATGAGTGTTGCCAGAATTCTCATCACTAGCACCTTATCGAGACTGTATTCTGAAGACAACACCTTTGTCTCTAAAATTCTGGTCTTTCCCTATAAAAGATATGTACAGGAGCCTCTAGAAGACAGCACTACTATTAGAGCAAACTCTGACAACTGATATATGTGGCAGTTTAGACTGGCAAGAACACATATATGACATGATGGGGCGATAACTTATTAATGAAAAAGCTAGAGGTCAGGGTAAGGCATGAATGTTTTCTCTCTCTCCTTCCCCATTAATCCTTGGAATACGTCTTCCCCTCTTCTTTACTGTAACATCTCTTGCACTTCTTATGTGTTTTTCATAGCATAAAGCTTTTAATCTCCAATACCCAGTTTCATCCTCACTGAAAACACACTGGTAGAGTTTACTAATTTTAACTCCAAGGACTTCTTACAAGTATTATCACACCCTACAACTCTCCCTCCTTGGTATCAGTACTCCTGGAAAATCTCTTACCAATTTTTCTTTTATATAACACAAGAAACATAAGAGTGGGTATCTTTAAGCTTCTTGGTTTGCAAAGAAAATGCCTATGACTGAGCTCAGTCTGACTTAGATGTGACTTGCAGTTGACTCATCTTCCTTTTCTCTCACAGTTGTTTGGCAAGGAGGTATCTTTGGCTCCAAGCTGTTTGGGAATTTCTGCTAGTCTGCACTGCTTATGTCATACCCATAGTAAGTATGGGTACATTGCAGATTGAACATACCAAAGTTGACGTTCCGTGGGTTTTGTAGCGAAATGCATAAAGCACTATGCTAGACAGACTAATGCACATACTTAGCAAGAACTTAGGACAACTGAGAAGATAACATTGCAAATTTAGTTTATATGGTATTTTTTTTGTAAAGAAAGGGAAATTGATAAATGTTCCATGCAGGAATGGTTATATATAGTTTGCTGAATAGGTACAACTGAATGTATTTTTTAACTACATTTCTGCATTCGAAAATTTGTTCTGGAAATTAACACAAAGTGTTCTTTATTCTATGTAAATAATTTTCTTAATGGAATTTCCTATTTTTGCATTAAATACTAAAATACCCGATATATATATATATATATATAGCAGTTACTTAAAGTTTAAGCAGCTTTAAAAGTCTTGAGATTTGTAGAGATGTTTTGCTAAACCTAAAAAAATACAGTACAATTCCTACATGCTTTTTTACTAATTCATTCTATTTTCGTGGGAGTCATTTTGGACAGTTTAGAATGTATGAGATTCGTGTGAGAAAATGTAGGTCATACCTATGACTCCCATCATATCTCCCAAACCTTAGAGGTGATGGAAATCACCTCTAAGACTTTTGTGCTAAATGTGATCATCTCCTGTACTTCCACGATGGCATGGAAGTAGATGGAGCAGCTTTGCCTTTTTGCAGGCACCTGTATCATACGTCTTTCCTTAGATTTCTGAAGTCTATGACACCCTGGTGATGCAGGTACGCAGAAGAAAGAAAAACCCTCTCGCAGTTCTTTTGTCATGTATGTTGTTAACAGTTCCTTCAGAATGCAAATTAGCTGACCAAAGAAAAATGTTATCTGACCAGCCAAAGTGCTATTTGTTTAATGAAATGATTAAGAAAATGAAGAGTTACCCAGATCACAGAAGAATTAAATATGGATGTGAGAAATCATCCTTGGTGTTGAACGTCTCTGAGATCTATTCCATATGTTCATTACCAGCCTGACTCCTGTCTCATCTGGGGCTACTTCATTTTTTTCTCTCACGTATTTCCACACCCCATAAAGTCTTCTTTGCTCCCCTCTTCCATTTCTGGATCAGTTCTGCCTTTGTCCAGATACTTGAATGTGCAAATTATTTTATCCTGAAAACCATTCTGTACAGCAGTTGAGAATTTTCAGAACATGCTATCACATATTCTTGTCCCCAGACAGAATAACATCTTCTGATGAAGTAGAACATGGTAAATTTAAGGCTGAAATCTTGTCCTAACTCAGCTGTATGGTAAGTGACATTTACTGTGAGGGTCACATGGCTGCATCTAGACGAAGCAGTCTATGACATGTGTGGCAGCCTTCATCTCATCCTTATTCAGATCAAATCCAAAGCACAAAAGAAAGCTGGGTCTGTTGCAACCTTGCCTTTAGCCTTTGTAAGACATGAGGATATGTGAAGGTTACTTGGGCAGGCCCTGGGGCTTGGAAGGCTGCATAAGTCCCTTGCTTTAGAAAGCATTTAACTGAATGTGCTCACCATATTACATGTTAAATCTGCTATTTTTTGTAATACATCTTGCTAACGTACTTCCTCTAAACTGTAGCAAGGTAGATCTGTCCTGTTAGATAGTCTTACAAGTCTCAGGTAAAAGCTGTAATTTTGCCTATAAAAATGAAGACCTAAATTTATATTTAAGTATATTCCTCCTCCTTTACGTATACATGATTTCCAGAAGAGATCTGCTGTATACTTACTCTTGTATTGTTTCTTTCAGCTTTCAGTTCTGAAATCTCCTCCTCTTTTTCAAGCAGCTGTTCCCTGCATGCACTTAATTCTTTCGTCAGTGCAGCAAATTCCTGTTGAATAAAATGATATATGAAGTTACTAAGAATGTAAGCACTAGAATAATCAAATCCACATGCAGTCTAGAGTGTAAGGATTTAAATAATATTTAGAAATCATCAACACAAACTAAAATGGTGTGTGTAAAGATCAGTATCTACCAAAACCATTTAAAATCCAGGCATATCTAATAAAAAGTACCTATGGAAAACATTGACTTAAGTTTAGAAACAAAGGAAGGTTCATGTTGGTGGCAAAATCCCCCATATGAAGCTATCAGAATCACACCAGAAGAGAAACAGAACTGGCCTATTTCATAGCAAGAGACAATACGTTTTACACATAATGAAGTTAAGCTCAACATATCTGCTTTGTGAGTGCACTTGCCTCTCTGTAAGGCAGCTATTGCAACATGGCATGGGAGAAAAAAGGTATTCACTAATCAAAATCTATATAATATCAGAAAAACATAACGTGTTTTGTGAAAAAAACAAAACAAAACAACAAACCAAACAAAAACCCCCTGTTAGTTTTACTTGATATTTGAATTTCACTACTAAAATGTATTTGGACATTATAGTGAAAGGCTGTGATGAGTCAGAGCAATATTTATGTTCGTTAGCACGGAGTCAGTTTCCTATGAAATAACAACATAAAATGAAACTGGATTATAACTTGGTCCTGATGTTAAGTTTCATACCTGCAACTAGGAGGTTTTCTGAAAAACGTATTTTTTAGTTATCAAAATTCCTGGTAAAATCTCTCGATTTTTACCACTACTGTTACTCTTCAAGATTAAGCAGAGATTTTTGTCTGTAGAAAATGCAGACACATAGTTGTCATTCCTTTTAATAATGAAAAGGTTTCACTCTTTATGTGTTAGTTTTTGACAGGCATGACATATACTAAACTGCAGTGATTGATTTTCTTCTCTACAGCAAAAAACAGATGCTACATTTCTCATGAAAACAACGGATGAAAAACCTTTACAATTTGTGATCATTTGTCAACAAAAAGAAAGGATATCTTGATGGACAGCATTGATGCTTAAGAAGTTATAGGCATATTTTTAAATATTAAATTCATTTTCGTTTGAGGCAAATAGTCAGTGCACCCACAAGCAGCCAGGGTTAAATTGCAGTCATTCCTAATTCTTCCCCTACCTCCCTCCCAAGAAAGCAGTTTAAGAAAAAAAACCATATCCAGGTGGTTTACTGTATCAGCCAGTTGGATAAAGCTGAGACTAAATCTACTTATTTAAGACAAAAGCTAGCAATAAGCTCAAAAGGGCTGGGTTTGCTGTTTTTCCTTGAGTTGCTGAAAGCAGTTATTATCTGAACTAAAGTGCTGTTCAGCAGATGCTTGGTAGGTATTCTTAGGCACATTCTTTTTTAATAAAGTTTCTAAATAGTTTATGGTATATGGTATTATTAATAATATATTTTAAAGTATTCAGATAGATTTCAAGTGATATGCTGACAATGTGTAACTAAGGGCTTGCTTTGTTTAATTTTTCAGTAGCTGGAACTAGATTCACAGTAAACCTCTATGCAAATTGCATGTAGGAAAGCATTGTTTTGACATCCTCGCTGTTGTTTTTTTTTTTTTACAGATCAGCTGTTGATCATATGTTTCATAACTCCTAATCAGTATTTTTATTTTACATCCTAGTGATCAAGAACTTGTGAGGCTACAAGCATACAGCATACTTAATGTTAAAGCCCTTAACAGCTTTGAAAATGAGACTTAAATTTTAAACCTTTTCTCTCACTTCCCAGAAGTACCATTAGAACTCCTACCTGTAGGTCTTACTCTAGGATTCAGAAACTGACTGTCCAGCAGAGTTATTCTGTCTAGAACTTTGCTTAAAATAAATTCTGTCCTTAAGGTTTTAATTAATGTTACGTATCAGATTAAAATACTGTGTTTAATAGAAAGCCAATGATCATAATTCAGACTGAACTGGAATTTTGAAGCACAAAAGCACACACACACTTTTTTTTTTTCTTCATATTCCTGTAAGAGGAACTTTATAGGGTTACAGGGTGAAACTCTTGTTACTAATTTACATACAGTTTATACACATGGATAAATGTCTATAGTACTTTCAGAACCTCACAGAATAAACTTTCTGTGTAATCTATGTAGTACATTTTTATTTACTTTTTCATATTTCTTTGTATTGTTTCAGTTGGAATTGAAATAGAGATTTTGGAATACACTGGGCATTGGGATGGGTGACAAATGGTGAAAAGGATGAGTATCATCTGGTAATTCCCAGTTCAATTGTTTAAGTACAATAAGGCAAACCAGTCTGGTAACATGCTTTAGTTGCTTTCCTTGGAATCAGAAAAAGACACGAGTTTATTAAACTGTATATTCTTTGCTGTGCCAAGGTAAGCCTGCTACCAGCAGAACAGTCACTAATGCTTTGGTCAACACAATCTTAAATAAGGAATGAAGTTCCGACTATTTTGCTGAGCAGCATGGAGCTTATTCTTAGGGAAACTTTATTTGGTCATCAGCGTTTCCCCTTGCTTAAACCCAAGCCATTACCCAAAATTCTGCTCCCAGAGAGTCGCATACCTAACATGGTATCCTTGCAGCCTTGAAATATCTTCAGCTTATCTTCACAGTAACTATTAGCACCCACTTTAGCTGTGCTACCTGAGTCCAGTATTTGATAACTTTCTGTGTCAGTCACTGGCACAGGCCCTTCAAGCCTTTTAATTATTTAGTTGTTGCTTCTCTCTGAAATTCCTGTGTTGTTGATGCATCTGCAGCTCCAGCATTTACAACAAGCAGCCACCTCTTCATACCTCTCTTCTTCTGAACTACCAGAGATTGCTTGGTTGTCAAGAGATTTGACTTCTCTGAATTGAATGATGATAGAAAGAGGGCTTTTTTTTTTTCCTTTATCATAAGCCTTTTCAGGGAAAGTCTCAAAGTAAAACTGAGTTTTCCCTGGAGGTTTACAAATGAGTATTTCTGTCACATCTGCTTTGATGAATCAATAACTAGGATAAAACCTCACAACAACAAGTTTTTCAACTCATGTTTCCAAAACTGCAAGTAAAACTCATTTTAAATATACCCTTTTTATCCAAGGTGTCCCTGAGATATGAGAATGCTCCAGGAAATGTATTTCTTCCACAGGTTAGAAGCAAAGCAAAGCATATTTTTGTTTTACCCAGTTATGTAATCAATAACACATGATGATAACAACCTCTGCCTGTGCAATTCCCTCCCATTCCCAGGGATCAAGGGAATACTGTCATCAGGAATTATTGTTTGCAGCAGAAATCTTGCATGGTCAGTCATACTTTGGGAGCCCTGAAGGTAGTATTTGTTGCATAATTAATTTGATTTGACAGGCACAACTGTGCTCTTAAAGCTTATGTAGAAGTTGTATGGCTAGAAAGCTAACTAAGAACTGAAGTGAATTAAAACTGTATGAAAATTATTCAGCTGACTGTACTGCTTTCATATTATACTATGACATCAGGACACTTACAATTTGTTTTATGATAACCCAAGAAAGAACAATTATTTTTGTCACTTGAATAAACATAATGTAAAGAGCCTACCTTATCTGCTGTTTCATTTGTCTTAATACTTGGGCTATAAAGCAGTGTGACTGAAAATCAGCTGACTCAAAATGACAGCTTGTCATTTATCCCATGTTTATCTTTAAAGAGAGGTTGGAAGTCTTGAAAGCAAATTCAGGAGAAATTTGTAGCCACCGAAAGGACCGTTAGGCATGAGAAATAATAAAAAGTCACAGCCTTTTGAGACAAAGGGGCACAAAATCACAAAATTGAATATAGAAATCTTTAGAATTAGTTTTAAGTAATGTTAAGTTTGATGGCTTTGTAACAGTAGCAATGGAAAATTACTGAGGTGCACGATACATAGAGAAAAAAAAAAGAGTACAGCTAGAGAGCCTACTGAGAATGCTCACAAGATAAATCGTTATAGTTGGCCTAGTTTTAAGAAAAACAGTCTAGAAGAACAGGACACAGGGATAAGGAGTATCTGGGAACCGCAGGTGTCCAGGATGGGCTACAGTTAAACTAACTGGTAAGTAGGAGGATAGGAGGATTATTATGTCTCTGGTGCTAACAAACCAATTAAACTGGTATGAGCATCTACTGCGCATGCTTTGAAGGCTGCCAGAAGCGATGAAGATTGTTGGAAGAAGTAAGCGACCCTCAGAGACCACCACCACAATTCTGTACGCATGTGGTGAACTCTCTGGAAAATGATGTAATCCATATGTAGCCTCATGAATATGTATGTATGCCCAGGGACTATATAAGGATGGCTTGTATAGCAATACAGGGACACACTGTTAGGAGCTATCCCCTGTTGTCTCCCGGTACCGCAGTAAAGAATACCTGCTTGTCAGCTTGAAAACTTTGTTGGCAAGTTCCTGGAGTTTTCTCTGAATCATTTTCCCTGGTGAGACACCTGAGGCGCAGTCAGAGCAGAGGCTGGAGGGTGCCCAGGAGAGTGGGAGGCCATGGGGACAGGCCTGCTGACAGAGCTGCCAGATGTGCTGGCAGCAGGACTGTGCTAGGGAGGCATACCACAGCTCTCTTGCCTTAAATCTCTGCCTCTAGGGGATGGCTTCACAAATGCTGCTTTCTTTGCTTATTGTTCCCGGGAAAGGCCTCTGAGATTTATTTTGTATGAACAAATACGCACAAAACATACATAACTAGTCTCCAAACTGAGGGTATGCCTCAGAAATTATGAGACCTCATATCTGCAGTACTCAACTGTTCAGTGTCGGTACACAGTCCAGTACAGAGGAGTTGAAATAAAAATACAGTCTCTCATCATCCCACCCCCAAAAGAAAAAACACCCACAAAACTACTGAAAGGAGAAAATTTGTAAAAGAAAAAAAACTCAAAAAAACCAACCTCTCTAACATAAAATTCAATTTTAGAGACACTTGGGAGATTCAGCCTAAAATCTCCTCTGGATAGTGCATCTTTGAACCACAGCTCA